AATCCTAAACCCGGCTTGGCCTGGGTCAGGGCCCTATCCGCACTCAGCCGGGGGAACTTCGTTGGTGAGCCATCTTGGGGCGCATCCTGGACAGGGAGTTGCTTTTGTTCAGGGGAAGAGGGGGACGGGGGGAGATGGGCTTCTAGGATCGATCCTTCTTTGTGGTGTGTCCGCGTGCGTGTGTCGTTGTTTTAAGGTGCCAGTTTTTCTTATTCTAGGATGTAAAGGGGCTTGGGGCATCTGGGGAAAAATGGGCTTCGGGGGGTTCCGGTGAATTTTGGAGCCTCTGGCTACGTGGGACTCGACGCTCTTGGGTAGAGGGTTTTAGGGTCCAGGGTTTAAGGTCTCGGGTTGTTTCGGGACTCGCCACCAGAACCTCTCGCCCAAATTGGGTGGAGCTTTGGGTTGTGCTTTGCAAGCATTCCTCATCCCCAAAGCTTCTGCTGATAATGATTCCTCAGGCTCTCCTACTCCACACAAGGCAACCAAGTCCTGCAATGCGAACTCCTTCAGCTGCCAAGACGACGCGGATGTCATAACTCTGCGCGGGCTTTATCCTGTGACTTCCGAGCATGGTTGGCATCCACTTCTCGGGGCTTCCAATGTGTGTGTGTGTGTGTGGGTGTGTGTATATATATATATATATATATGAGCTAGAGCCGGTAGGTGCGACATGGATGTTGAATGATGGCGAATCTAATCATGCCATGTAGACATGGAAGGAGTTTCCCAGCAGACAAGGGTAACATCTCGGAATTCGAAAGAACGATCCGCACAGCACAGGAACCGTTTCAAGTCGATGAGGGTCCGAGTATGTCCTGCCTTAAGTCTCATGCAGGCAATTCCGAGGGAACTGGCAACCTGAAAACTGAGCGGGGTTTTAAAAGCAAGGTTTGCTCCAAGGTGCAATAGCCTCGTCTGCACAACCCCGAAATCGTGTGCTGCACTCAACACTCGACAAGGCTAAACGGAGCGTGGGACTCGCGCCTCACCTTCCCTCTCCGCATGTCAGGCTGTTCAGTCAAGATGATGGTCATGATGACGTTGGTTATGATGATGATGATGATGATGATGATGATGATGACGATGTTGCTGACGACGAGGAAGCTGACGGCGACAATGGCGATAACGAAGAATGTAATGACGGTGAAGACGATGATGACGGTGATGATGATGACGAAGACGACATGATAATGATGATGGCGATGACGAACAAACTGATGACGACAATGGTGATGACGATGACGATGACGATCATGATGGTGATGTTGATGATGACAACGTTTAGTTTAAAAATGGTGGTCAACAGGACGATAGATTGACCATCTGCAACGAGAAAGCGGTCACATTTTGGACTGCAGTAGGCACATGCATGCAAAGCGGTTTTTGTGCCCGTAATTCTGCATCCACAGAGGTCGACAGAAGCAGACAACGTTAGTCGTGTTGTGCATGTATGAATGTAAGCACATATGTTCGTACATATCAAGAAACACGGATGCATGTAAACATAGACCAAGCCGGTCAACACTCCGAATAGTTGGAGTGCCTCCGTACAAGGGCACCTCTGCTGCAATTCCACGCGAATGCCCCGTCTCTTGCATGCACACCCATGCTCAAGACACCCTCAGGCCCTGATAAGCCGAAATGATTAGAACACGGTTTTAGGGATGTACAGTGTGCAGACTATAGTTCTATATACTAGTGACTATGGCAGAAGTCCTGGTACTTACTCAGAACCCTCATTGCTTGTGATATTATGACAACGCGCCCTGCTCGCCATTGCAGCCAAGAAGGCCGTCTCGCCAGGAACTTCTCATAGCTGCGGTTTGGCATAAAAACCCAGACATGACGTCTATACACGCATGGGTGTATGCATGTGTAGTGTAAACATGTGTGTGTATACATCTACATATATACACACACATATATATATATAAATATATGTGTATATTACACTCGGACATGCATGTGAACATGAAGTACTGAGTACTGAGAAGCTGCCATAGATGGTGTCTGCATGCGCCATGGCGCTGGCGCCGTTTGCTCACAACGACCTCTGCAGCTAGCAGGCAAGCTTGGAATTCAGGGAACGTTTGTCCCGGAGGATTGGGTAACATGGTGCAGCCTTCAGGGACAGCAGTGCTGTACCTGTCCCAGACCGCAGCACATTACGAGCGACTGTACACTGTTCAGCGGCAGCACTACCGCGGCGCGAGTACCGCAAGAGGTGAACAGGCGCGCGAACCAGGAGCCGCTGAACTAAAAGAATTAGGTCGCTTCCTGTACACTCGAAACCCTTCCACCCAGCCGTGAACCCTAAGCCTCTTAGTCACTCAAATCTAGTCTCAACCCGTGACAGACAAGCCGTGTGGTGAAGGGCGGAAGGGAATACTCCGAAGGCCACCCTAAACTTCGGCCGAAACTAAATCCTAAACCACAAGACAAGAACCCCCCAAAAAGGTCCGCATTTAACACAATCCCTGCACAACATCCGAAAACCCTAAACCCGCAACTCGCGAGCCTCCCCGGACCCGGACTCCTTTTGAGGACTGTCTGTGCAACCGTCACCGCCTGTGGCCTGTTGTCGGGTTTAGGAGCTCTGGGGTTCTACTTGCCTTCGGGAAGAAAGGGACTGTTATATAGTAGTTATATAGTAGCTATATGGTAGTTAAATGGTAGTTATATGGTAGCTATATGGTAGTTAAATGGTAGTTCTATGGTAGTTATATGGTAGTTCTATGGTAGTAAGATGGTAGTAATAGTAGTTGTCATGGTACCTCATTCCTCCATTCCCTACTAACCAAAGGAAAGTCTAGGGATCAGGGAGTCGGATTGAAGGTTGGGTTTTGGGCTTTCCATGTGCCGTTGCGGCGCAGAGGGATTTAGGGGGTGAAGGATTGCGGGGTCGAGAGTTTCACGGGTTGGGATGTCGTTTCGGGTTGAGGGCGGTGTAGCTACCAGTTGCAGTGAGGGTCGATTGGAGATGCCGTTCGTGGCTGATGGGGTGGGATGATATATGTTTAGAAAGAAGCGGAAGAGGAGTTTTAGGGTTTCGGCCATCGGTGTTGAAGGCTTTCATGGGGTTGCAGATTCGGGAAACATGATGGCACATAAGCCAAGGTTCTCCCATCGTTCGCCAGTATATTGAATCTCCACGATCGAGTTTCGTAGGTTCGTAACTAAGGCCGGAAAAGGCTAACCCATGTTGGGCTTCGATGTTCCGAAGTAACCCAGGGCTTGCTGCTTCTCCACAGGCACAAGCCAACCCTATACGCACAACTCAAAGTGCCTCGTCTTCATTCTGGAGGAAGCAGCGGTCGACGATCAGCGTTACGACTAGCAGTAGCCAGCACATCACGTGCTTCACGAGGAAAAAAGATCCGGCACCAAAAGCCGGAATGACACCCTCCACCACAACGGGCAGGGAACCGGCACCGGCCCCCAGTGTAAGAGAGACAGAGAGCATGGCCATATCGATGCTGGTCAGCTCCTTGTACTCCTGAACCATACTGATGCACATGGCCTCGATTGGACCGACTCCCGTTCCCAGGCCTGCCACAAGTACCAAGACCGCCGGGAGATGCGTGGGCCAGATCAGTGCCGGGATACAGGACAGCAGACCCAGGCCGGAACCCGCCAGGATGACGCAACCTAGGATACCCCAGTAACCTAAGAATAAAAAGGCCTCTCTTTTTGGTATATTGGGCAACTTTATAAGGAACCTAGGTTACTACAAAAGGGAATAATAAGGGTACTACTGGGCATCCTAGCAACTTGGCCTTGAGCCATAGCACCACAGGATGCTCGGAGCCAGAACCATGCGGCTCAGCGCGAGAAAGGTGTAGAAGGTCACCTTGCACGCCGACGCGGCAGTCGCGTCAAAGTTCAAGTCAAGCATGACCTCCGGATCCATGTCGCCAGAGCAGCCACCTAATGCTGCGGCCAGAAATGCCAAAAGGCAGCATGCGAGGGTGAAGCTGCAAGGCCATTTGTTGGACACTTTGGACACACGGCGAGAAGGAGGACGGAAGGAAGTGTGCCGCTTTGTTGCCGTCAAGCACTGGCTCACGAAGAACAACGCTGACATTGCCAAGCTGACGGCTCCGATGATACAGGTCACCTCAGGGCCAAACTCTGTAGACGACAGCTGGTCTCGGAGGAGGATCACCACGGAGCCCAGTGCGAAGCCTCCCTGGGCAAAGCTCTGTGCCGCGCTGCTCTTGCTCAGATCCTCGTGGAGGTTTGCCACCAGCAAGGCAGCCACATGCCAAATCCATGGTCTCGGAAGGATCCTGGGCTCTTAGCAGGGCACTGTCCGGGCTTATAGGTTTTCCTCAAAGATCTGTCATATAATTATATAGACGTGCCGTGAAAACGAGGTCGTACTATGTGGGTACCATATAACCCTCTTATAGCCACTTAGAAGAAGTTGCTTAACAAGAACCCCGGATCATGGCCACATAGGCGAGCACCACCGCGCTTATCGTCTCACAGCACAGTGGCAACAGAGAAAAGAAGATACTGACCCATAGCAGCAAAGCCTTGGCTTGGTCTTTGAAGGGAAGGAAAGACTAAGGACGATGCACCGGGCATCTAGAGGGGCTCTATAAGGTTTTCCAGCCCTGATTATGGGCTCCCGCTTACAAGGGAAAGAAACCCAAACCTGAAAAAACAAACAGGAACCCTGAACCCTCAAACCTAAACCCTGAACCCCAACCCTAAACCCTCCAACCCTAACCCCTGAGCCCGAAACCATGATCCCTAAACCCCAAACCCGACAAACCCTGAAGCCATCGGCGCAGAAGCCGTGAGTAGCTGGTGGTGCTGCTCTGGTCGTACGAAGACCATGCTCGCGGAGGCAAGTCCGGAAACAAGAAGGAACGTCATCTCCTGTTTAGGTACTGCCCCCATACAGTAAGAGCCTATAATGGGGCTATACTATTAAGGTCCTGATATATCTATATTATGAATGTTATTCAACCACTACTGAGTGGGGGCCGTACACAATCTCCCGTTTACGAAGGCTCGGGGCTAATAGGGCTAAGGGCTTAGGGTATAAGTCGGCCTGAGGTAGAAGCTATAAGTCCTTGAGACAAAATAAAACATGTCTTCAACTACCCCCTTGGGTTGGAAATATGACGACAACAATAAACAAAAAAACATCCTCCCAAACACCCAAGTCTCGACCATAGGAAGGAACTCCAGTGCTCCAATCTTCAGGTTCAAGGGTGCTGTTAGCCAAGGCAGGGCCAAGCGAAACGCATGGCAGTTCACAGAGAGGATCATGTTGGAGAGGGTGTATACCAAGACCTGGACCGCTCATGGAGCTCTCGAAAGTTTAGAGGTGGTATGCCTTCTGAACACTATGTAAGACGGAAGATTCCGGAAAGTATTCAAAACTGCGGAGACAACAGTCATGCGAAAGGGCTCTTCAATTAGCTCGTGCAAACTCAGCCCCTGTCAAACGGCCCCACTAAGCTTCGCAGCTCAAACGAAACCAATTCGAACCCCTTACGCTGCCCGATAAATTTCGTACAAAGTACGTCCTCACATGAGCATTCTTCTGTAATACATTTTCGCCCATTCTGATTCTGATATATTCCAGGATATTGCTGCAAATTCTGGTCCATTTACCATCACCGAAAAAACAATAGTACATTGCAGTGTATCATGTTGTATGAGGTCTTATATTACTGCGGTACTTTATTAATAGTGTCGCAATCTATTGTACGTACATCATTGTAGCCTGGAGGCGAGGAGGCTCTTCCTCCCTCGGCTGAAACTCGCGGCGCGGCGCAAGCTCACAGCCATCGCTCCAAAATCGACGGCAAAAGCCGCACAAAGGCTCAGAGCATTTAAAAGAGCAGCTGAGCAAAGGCAGATCGTTTCAAGCTTTAGCGGGGTGTGGGCTTAGGGCCTATAGGGTGTGGGGCAGCAGAGGAAAGCGAGTTGTGGCGCAAATGACCATTGACCATAGACTTAGATTTATCTTCTAGTAAGCTCTGGGTTTCGGGGAACTGGCCGCTTGGTGCAGGCTTTTGTACATCAGGGGTCCTTTCCAGCAGCGGCCTTCCTGTCATCCACCGCCTTCTCCAACGCCTGGCGGAAGAACTCGGGGACAGCTCTGGAATGTTGGAGCGGGGAAGTTGGGGGGGGGGGGGGGGGGGGGAGGAGGGGGTCTTAGCATGATTTGATAAAGGGCCCTGACAAATGCAATGATCATGATCACAACAATAAACTCTGATGATAATACTGACCATGGCAAATGGTAATATGCATGATCTACTGATATACGTAGTATTGATAGCATTAACAGGTCATTAACAAGGATCCGAGTAGTCGTCGTTCACATATGGGTCTCTTTACCCTTTACCCTAAACCCTAAACCCTAAACCCTAAACCCTCTCTGTTTTAACTTTGGTCTGATCTGGTTTTCGGATGCGGGGCCTTTAAAGAGGAGTCGGTTCGGGTTTGATTGGGGTCTCTTTTTTTTTGAAAAGTGCAATGGCGTCTTTCTGTGGCTGATTGGGGTCTAGGGTGCCATCTGGATTTAGGGATGCTTCGATGGTTTTAGGAATCAGGCTCCCCGGCTTCGAGCTTTACAACTGCTGCCTTGGAACCCCGAAACCTTTTGAATCCTGAACCACTAAATCTGAAACCTCAACCCTGTGCACAAACTCTGAAGCGAAATCCATGGCCCTGAAAGTGAAGGATGTGCTTCTCGAATGCGCGCATTATTTTTATTGTCGGGTTCGAATATGAAGGATTTCAGAGGCAGGGTTCCCCCTCTCTGCGTCGAAAGGTGTGCCTAGCACAAGAAAATAAACGAAGCAGGGTAGTCTTTAACACGGCGATCGGTGCTTGGAAAGACACTTGAAGCCCGAACCCTAAAGCTAGGGTGACATGTGAATGTCAGAAGATGACAAGGGGACCTCACCTCTGCAGACCTTATTGTCGTAGCAGCCTGCTGGCTGTAGAAGGACCCCCTGCATAGGGCACCCCTAAACTCCCACACGTTTTATGGGTTTTATCGCAGCTGAACCTTCTCAGCCCCAGCTTGCATAAGTGGCGTCGATCACCCAGTATCGAAGTCAGCAGCTCAACTCCCGAAATTTCGATGCACAAAAACCAAACACGCTCAAGCCCGACATCTAACGTCCTAAACCCTAACCCCATACGAACCCTGGCAAGAACACACATAAGAACTCTTATAGTAAGCTTTAGTAATAACCCGAGAAGAACATGTATGCAGACGCACCTCAGAGATTGCCGCCACGGCATACTGTGGCAGAGCAAAGGCAGCTTCGTGCACCCTCCGAGAATAGTACCTGGCATTCGGCTTTTTTTATGGGCCCATTTCGAACTGCAGAACAGCTAGAAGTCCTGTACTAGGAGGAGCCGATAGGGCTTAGGGTATCTGGCAGAAAAGGGGGTTTAACCTTTAGTTTGGGGCTCTGGGAGTAGAGGGCTCCTTTTGAGGGGCCCCATACTCTCACATGAGATACCGTCATCACTGAACCCAATCACCCCAAACCCTAACACAAACCACAAACCCCGCGAAAGCCCCTAAACCAAAACACAAACGACTGAATCACCCTAAAGCCCTAAACACAGCCGATCCCCAGAGAAAAGAGATGGAAGCCGAGGCTCCCCATCTCGAGCTCTTCATCTTCGTAGCTCTGCCAGTCCACGGAGCCTCCAGCCAGCTCGTTTTGGGGGGTTAGGGTTTAAGGTTCAGGGTTTACGTTTCGGGGGAGGGAGTTAGAAGTGGTCTATAAGGGGTTTTGCCAGGTTGGTTGAAGTTGCGGGGTCTCAGTTCGGTGGCTTTCGGGTGTAGGGGGATCGGCAGGGCTTAGGGTTTGAGGCGTGGGTTCGGTGTGTCCGGGCTGAAGGGAGTCAGACGCATGCATGTGAGGAGACAAAACACACCACAAAGTCATCCTGACAACGACGAGTCCAAGGCTATGTGTGTTTTAGAATCAAGTATCATTCTGATATTGAGGATTGAGGGTTTAGGGCAATATGTGTCCCGCGGTCAGCAAGGCTCTGCGAGCTGCTTCCCAAGGTCCTTGTCCCAAGTGACCCTATGGAAACTCCGTTGCACGGCCTGTGTCGAGGGCATCAATTTCATCCGAGCAGATCACGAAGCAGTAGTGGCCTTCTCAGCTCAGCCAGCTCGGAAATACTGTGCACAAACAAAAAACTGGAATAGGTCTTTGGAGGCAGGATTTACAGCAAATTTCCTTGTGAACCGGTTCTGGAACCGGTTTGCGAACCGGTTTGGAAACCGGTTTGCAAACCGGTTTGGAAATCGCTGGTTTCCAGCGTTTTGCAGTGTTTTCGGTAGAAATTCCATGCTTTTCCAACCGGTTCGCGAACCGGTTTGCGAACCGGTTTGGAAACCGGTTGTTTAGTGTATTTTGCTAGGAGCAGGAATCCTATTGCTGAGTGTTGCGGCTCTTACACGAACCAAGGATTAAAAGGTAGAACCTCGGCTTTCCGAGTTCGAAGACACACACAGAAAGACAGGGGCGCACAGGAAAGGTGAGTCTTGGAGTCATGTCGACAGCTGTGAGATCTATCGCGGTGGGAAAAGAATAACGTCGAGTGGTGAGCAGTGAAGCTCGGAGTGTGTGGCGCATGGCGTGAATAGAGCAGTGAGCAGTTGGTGAGCTATCGTCGCAGTAGCAGGGATGGGGTAAGGTATAGTATGGTGGGAACGGTGCAGGTGATTGAATCGTCCTCGCTCGAATCTTCTTGTTCCACAAACCCATAATTTAGACTGAGACCCACAAACTGTCTCCAGGTATCGTGAACCGGCCTGATGTGTAGGTCGGCTGGTAAATTTGGAACACGCGAACATACCTCGGCAGCAAGCATGTTGCCATTGACGTGTCCTTTCCTTGCCCGTCGAAAGCTCGCAGCCTGTCAGAAGCCGTACAGTCAGGTTGTTTCCCCGCCCCAACAAACCCAGACTAAAAGCTGGGTTTTAGGGGTGCGTCTTTCCCCGAGCCCAGGCGCTTGAAGAGCAGTCGCTGGCGATAAACGCTCGCTTGGACCTGACCCAGCTGCCAGGGCAGGGACGTGAGGTTGATGACCTGGCGAGAAGTGGGCTCAATCGATTTGGCGTTCCTTGCCTTATTGTCGGAGGTGTCTTGGGTTGTAAGTAAGAGTCGGGCTTCTTTGGGGCTTTCGATCTGCTGTTGCGGTTGCAGGTGGGTGGATTTGGGGGGGGGTGGGATGTTGGTGTCTCGGCCTTGGAAGCTTGGCTCCAGTGTTGGCATAGGGGCTCTGAGGCCCTGGATGTAGCGTTTGCAGATTCGGGGTTTAGGTGACTATGACACCGACGACGGCGATGAGATGACGATGTCAATGATCATCATGCTGATGCTGATCTTGACATCACTGATGGACCTATGGAGTATTGCTGTTACAGTTCGGGATCATGGCTTGAAAAGCCTGGGGATTGCGATTGCAGGCAGCGGTGGACAATAAGCTACTGTGGGTAAAGAAGCCAATATGCTCAGCCCAGGAAAGAAGCCTCGAAAACCTGAGAAGCCTTTTGAGCGAGCTCGCATTTTCACTTCGGAAGTCCACTACCTCGAGTTAGGCTTGGGTACAGCAGCTGATTCTAACTTGCGGGTTCGGTTTGAGGTCTTAGTTCTGGGTTTGACAGGCTTGGCAGGGGTCGGAATAAGCAGCAAACATATTCCATTATAACGGCCCCTATATATCATAATAATTACACCTTTAATCTCTAGTATAAACTAGTATTTTAGCTACAGAACACTAATCCTGTCCGACCATTCAGGCCCCCCGTGTACTACAGCCAAATCCCTTTGGACCAGCTGGGTGTCTGGCGAGAACGCCCCCCTTTGCGAGCAGCTGTCGGAGGCGGCGGTGAAATGCCTCCTGACTGCTGGCTGTTGGCGGAGGGGTTGAGATAGGGGCGTTTATGATTACCTATACCGTTTGGGGGGCTCCTGATTATGATTCTAGCATCATGAGCCCCAAAAACCTAATCTAACTATTAAGGCACCTATGTGTTAGGGCTTTGGGTCAGGAATTCCTAGGAGCCCTACAAGCAAGGGAAACCGGATTGGGCTTCTGCCTCGCAGATCCTTCTATAACTTTAGGTGTGGCATGGAGTTTTTGCGTGTCAAAACGACGGCGGTTGTTACTACGTGGCTTATGCGCTTCGACGGCTTCGGTTTTCGGACTGGCAGGCTGCACTTCAATGGTTGCAAAGTGGCGTCAAAGGATCCCATGACCACTCGCAATGGCAAATAACAGCAGAACACACAATAAATCCACAAAACTCACAACGCGACCAGCTGACCAACCCGAGTGCATTTCACCGATTCGCCGCGCTAACATTGGCGAAAGTGGGCCCTGGCTCCTCGAAGAGAGGTTCCGATGCACCTCGGTGGGTGTCCCTTCCCTGAAGAGCCCGGTCAGGTGGGCCAGAGCTTGGGCTTTTCGGGTTTCGAGTTTAACGGTGACGGGCTTGGAGTTTAGGGTTCAGGGGGTCATGAAAGTTGCTTTTGGGGTTTAGAGGTTGAATATTGGGGTCGGGCTCAGGTGGTTTTGCTCGACTCGTGGCCGACAAGTATCCGATGACTAACCGCGGATCTTCAACGTCAACCATAAACCCTAAGCCCTAAAGCTAAGCCCCAAACCCCGAAAACCCTAAACTCCGAACCCCCTAGCAACCTCCAGACCCCCAAACCCCGACCCTAATCCAAAACGCGAAGCCCAAGTCCAAAACTCAGAGCAGAGAACGAAATCTCTAGCCGACTAAACTCCAAAAAAAAAAAAAAAGGTCTCAGTTGTTATTGAAATTGCCTAAGGTTTGGGGCTTCGGCTTGTTGTTGGTTGGGAGGGGGGGGCATGGGAAATCCTCAACCCCGCGGATTGCGCAAAAATACTGAGAAAGCAAGTTGAAAATTCGAGGCACCAAAGTCAGTGGAGTCGACAATGGCGATGTCGAACCTGGTTTAGCTTAGTTGAATTGTTGGTTTTAGGGCTCAGGCCTGCAGGATTGTTGGTGTCAAAGATGTGGTGGGAGCTTTAGGGCTTCAGGGTTGCAGCCAGACTTTCACAAAAGGCTTCGAGAGTCGGTGCAGTCCACAGTTAGGAGAGAAACACCACAACCAGCCTCACCGCCTGAATCCAAATCTCGATTGGCTCCGGGTCGAGATTGGCTCGCTGCTTTGTTTGTAAGCAGTCCCTGACGTCGTCCCCGGCAGAGCGCTAGAATCATGGAGCTTTGAGACACCTTGCAACTCCTAGCCTTTGGATGTTCCAGTAACACTTCCTACGGTTGATGATAAAATTCCTGCATTACCTTAAGGACCCTAAACTATGGGAATTATGGTATATTCCTTATTATGGGTCATGCAGGATTTATATCATCACCCGTATGTCCCATCCGTTGGGCCCTTGTTCGGCCGAGAGGACTCCCTGTGCGGTGCCCTCAGCCCCTGGAAATCCAAGTGGGTGGTTGTTAAAATTATGGTACCTTTTTGGGTCCCTATTATCGCACGGCACCTAATATTTAGAGTACCCAAAAAGGGACCCTAATTTTGACAACTACCCAAGTGAAGAAAGCCCCCCCTCTTCAAGTGCAGCAGGCTGAGGCATACACAAACCCCGTCTGCGTCTAAGCTCCTACACCTTTAACAGCTGAACCAAAAATCTACGCCGTTTGAGCTCTTCGTGAACCCCTAAATAACACAACCCTCCCAGGTCCTACACCGAAAAAGGCCGAAAAAACCCAAACCCCTGAACCCTGAGCCCCCAAACCCGAACTCTCTGAACCCTCCTGGCCCTAAACCCCTAAACCCAAGCTGCCCTAAACCCCACCAAGGGGAGCTAGTTGTCTGAGCCTTGGGCTTCTCATCGGCTCCCTGAAGAAAGTCTAGGGCACCAATAAAGGGGTCGAGGGGTTTAGGGTTTAGTTTGGGTCTATCAGGGTTCTAGGGTCTTCCATAGGTTTCTGTATTCGGGCTTAGGGTTCGTGTTCTTTTCGGGATTCCCAGCAGAGTTCTGTGATTCGAAGAGGGGTCTGAGTTCCAACGCGTGGTATGCAAGCGCTGGATGCGGATTTGGGGTCTGGGATCTTGCCTAGATAGTTGGTGCTCGGACTGTACATTTAGGAACTTGTGGATGAGGATCTACAGTTGGAGATTCAGGTTCATGTTGGTGCAGCGGAGGTCCTGACAAGGGGAGTGAGTGTAGGGTAAAGTCTAGGTTGTGAAGTGCGTGCTTCTAGCTTCCCTACTTAAAGCTGGAAAGAAAAGACGTGGTCGACATGGCAGCAGCTCAAGTCGCAGCGTCAAAGTTCCACGAAGTCAAAAGCCAACTCCTCCAACACCAGACTCCCGCCATCTCCGACTGACAACCGTGAAAAGGCGACAAACGAGGCTTCCGGTAGAGATCTGCCGGGATCCTACAAGAAGATGCAACCTGACACTCCAAGCCCGAGGCCCCATGTAAGCCTACGCGCTGATGCCCTCCCCCATGTCCACGAAGCTAGAATCCCTAAACCCTTGTTCAAAAAGCCGTTGGAAGGCTGGCTTCTCAGTTGAAGGTTTAAGTCTAGTTTAAGTTTCAGATGCGCACTACCAGGCTGTATGATCAGGTCTGAGCTTCAGGTTGTGAGATTCGATCTTCAACAGGGCTGACGGCGCCGTCACCGCCCAGGCGCACATCTCCATGCTGATGGCATACGATTTCTCCGGGTCTCCACGCGGGCCTGTAAACATGTTGCCAGCTCTGCTACGCGAGGGGCGAAGAAACGTGAGCGGGCCCGCCGCGGTGTAGTCGGCAGACTGTCGCGTTTGGCACTTTTTCCACAAGAAAATGGCCAGCGGTAGTTCGACCTGGCGAAGCCTCGTGGGCTCAACTTCTTTGACCCAAAACCCTGAAGCCTAACGGATCTGGGACAAGTGACCTTCTCCGAAAATCAGAGGCAGTTTTTCGGGACTCCCTGTTTACCTCGCACTAAGGATTCGACTGCTTTTGGTCCTTTAGCCTCGTGGTACTACAGGGGCATTGTAACAATTTTATGGAAGAGGGTTTACGGCTTGGTGTATATTCTGAAACGGCCAATCCTGAAACCCTATAATCCACCTTCACATCCTACAGCTCCTACAAGTATAAACCAACTTCACATCCTTCAAAGCCGATTTAATGCCTCACGTCTTCTGAAACTCCCGAAGCGCTCCGCCTTCTGCGCAACCTGCCGCCTGAGAGGCCCAGGACTTTGCTGTCAAGAGTCTGGTTTAGGCTTTAGGGTTTCGGGCTTAGGGTCTCGGGTTTAGGGTTTCGGGTTTCGGGTTTTGGGTGTTGAATCGGATACGTGTTGCGATGAACATCACAGGCCTCTTTTCGGAAATCCCCAGAAGCTTAGGGTTGGGTTGGGAATACGAAGCTAATTTGGGGTTCAACCCAGAACAACTCCTTGTAGAACCCTTGGAGACTTGTAAATCTTATGGGTACCTTATAAGCCCTACAGTCTCTGCAAACTCAGGCTTTCATAAAGGTCCTACTATTTTTGATCTGTAAAGATCTGTTTCCCCCCAGTTTTCGCAACCACTCAAGCGCTCTGAGGTCAGTTGGAACCCAAAGGCTCTCAGACCCTGAACCCTACACTTCAATCTCGGAACTTCGGAACCCAAACCTGTAAACCCTCCAACCATGGACCTCAGTGAAACCCTAAACCCTCAACCACAAAAACCCTGAACCCTAAACACCCTGAAAGCCCTAACCCTAAATCCTCAACCCTACACCCCAAACACACTACCAGCCCTAAAATCCCTAAAGAACCCTGGCAACCCTGAACCCGAAAGGCCCAAAAAGCCACAGCCAGGGAACACACCCTGAAAGCCCTAAAATCCCTAAAGAACCCTGGCAACCCTGAACCCGAAAGGCCCCAAAAAGCCAGGGAACGCCACGAAATCCGCACCAGACTCCAGGCGTAACTCCACCCGGGGATCTGCCAATGCCTCCGCGAGCCTCCGGCGAAAGCTGCCAGAGTTGAAAGGTGGTTTAGGGCTTCGGCTTTAGGATTTAGGGTTTAGGGTGCTTTGTAGGCTTTGGAGGCTTAGGGCTTTCAAGGTTCTTAGAGAATGGGGTTTTAAGGCTTATAGGGATTAGGGCTCCTGCTTGGGATCCTTTTCCAAAAGATATACTCGCCTTCATGCTGGATGCCGTGTGCGCGCGCCTGTCAAGAAGCTACTCTCTTTGATTGACTTCACACCGAGCACAAGCACCGCCGAAGCAGGCCAAGCTATAGAGTAGACAACCCCCTATGTAGGGGGAAGTGCGAGAGGAGCTCAGACTGTTGTGAAAAAATCAGAGGTTGTAGCACTTCGAGGTTTCAAGGTTTGGGACATTTGCGACAGTGCAAAGGCTAGGATTCGTGACTTGGGGCCTGTGTGTACTGCTAAATTCTTAGGGTTTAAGGTTTAGGGATTGGTTGTAGGCACAAGCCTCGGAAAGAATTCCCGGCTGATCCGGACCACCTCCTCGTCGGCGGCAAACGTCGGACCAGGGTGTACTTATGCATTGTGTCTAACCCACTTCTGTTCTTTTTTTACCATTTATTGCCTTGTTCTCATTACTACAATATCCTCAGTACTACTACTGGTTCTGATATCATTATCAATACTTTGATATTGCGACTTCTTGTACCTACCATTGATCTTTGTTGAAGTAGGATACACTGGGTCAGGAGGTTGCAAGAGGTGCATGTAGATAGAAACCGCTGCTTCAAGTACGACTACCCCAAACCCTGAGAATCTGCATCCGCGACCTTGCGCCCTCCACCCTACACCCTACTTCTTCGAAACAGATCCCAAGCCCAGAAAGTCCAAAGCCCTGAAATTCTAAACAATCGACCCAAAGAGTTAGCCAGCCCTTTGAAAGGCGGACCAAGGGCTTGGGACAATCCCGACATCAGTTCAACCCACCCCCCATAAACTCTTGGCCACTCACATTCAGAGTTTCGTGTTGTTCCAAGAAAAGCTTCTAGCATTCAAAGCTTACACTTAGGGGTTGGGATTCAGGATGTCGGGTTCAGTGCAAAGGAGGTAAGTGAAGGATCCTAAGCTCGTCCTCGTCCAGCTCTACGACAGTCACGCTCTCCACCTTAGGTGGCAGGCACGACGAATACGGTTTCTGCGTTGCTAACCTGCGCAAGAAAACTGAGCGTCGGGGTTCGGTTTCAATGTCAAGCTGTCATGGGGCTTGATTTCCGGGGTTCAAGATCCGGCAAGGGGTCGCATGTAGGTTAGCCTTCATTGTCCTGGGCAATTTCGGGCAGGCAAGAATCTGCAAGCCGGCCTGCAAACCTCAACACAATTATGACCCATCATTTCTGCGCCATGATGTTTCTCATTCCAACAATCGCCGCCGAAATAGTTACACTACTCTAGCACAACAACTCTCGTCAAGCAAAAAGGAGAGACGTGTAGCACCATTGCCCCAGCTGCAGTTTGTGCACTGAGTCGACAGTGTTGAGATTGCTCTCCAATTTTGCCACCCTACACCCTGTTAACTATAGGGTTGAAGGCTATCTCAAGTTTAAGGTTACCAAAAAACCTGCTGTCACGACCTCGTCACGCTCTCGCGCCGCAGTAGCTGCCGCGCGCTGCCTCCATCGCCACCGCCGACAACAAGAGCGCGGCTCGCAGTGGGAACGTACGCCTGGGATTCCCAACGCTTGAATGGAGGGGCCTTCAAAAATAGAAGCAGCTATTGCACTTCGATGACGATGAAACACTAGCTCGACGGAGCAACTAATAGTTTTTCCTGTAAGTATTAGTTTTGATCCTGGAATTTCCAGCACTACCCTCTGTACCCCTAGGCCTATTTTACCCTACAGGATTCTGGTTGATGCCCGAGTTCACAGTTTGGTACCTACTTGTACTGGCAGTGTCGGTATATCCTTCAAGTGTTGTCACTGCTTTTCTTGTTTCGGTGCCCTTGTGTGCGCGTGTGTTACTGCCGCTGTTCCTTTCAAAAACAACCCCTAGATTTGTGGACCTGAAACCCGAAAAAGACTTGAAAGACCCCAAGACGCCCTCACGACTAAAACCCGGAGCCGTCTCAAACCGACAAAACCCAAATCCCAGTCCGTTGAAGGCAACAACTGCCGCTGAAGTATTTTCTGACATGTATGGGCTATATTCAGAAGTCTCTTGCAAATCTTACCAGGGAGATGGGTTAACCCAAGGTATGCATGCACCTGGCTTCTGCAACGAAGACAAAGGGGTTTGGAATAAGGCCGTAAAAACGGGGTAGTGGTGATCATGTTTGTTTTGTTGTGGATTCCGTTCCTACGCCGGGAAACATAAACGATGCTGGGCTTCTTAAGCCCTCTACCCCGTATGCTCTACACCCTACACCTTAAACCTGGGGAGGGGGAAACCCGCGGTAGGCCCCTTTTGGCTGTACAAAGAGTACATGGGTTGAATGCTTGTAGACCGTGTGAGCAGAAAACCCCTCAAATACCGATCGATGGGCTTCCCTCTCTGTAAACCTAAAACCTAAAGCCCTATTGCCCTTAGCCCTAAAGTTCAAGCCTGTTCAGGCTGAGCACAAGCTCTGGAGGCTGAGATTGTCAGCCCATTGGCCGGCAAGGAGCCATTGGGACGTGCACGATCATCTCATGGTAGATGAACCTTGAAGTTTCAGGCTTAGGGTTTAGGCTTGCAGCTTACGGTCTGGAGCGTACGCTTTAGGCTTGAACCTTCGTTGTCGAAGTCCACAAGTTGAAAACGGCCGTCTCAGCGGTGGGACGTTGACAGGACTCTGACTCTTAGTTATACGACTTGGCACCTGCTCACCCGGTGTAGTCCCATCCAAGGCAGCAGCAAAAATCAGGCATCGACATTAACTTAAGCTCGGACCATTATGCTATGGATTTGAAGGGTCATCAGGACTTTACCGGGGCCTCTTGGTCAAACAAGTCTCCTCGAGTCACAATGTAAATGCAAAAGGGCACTTTGGGGTCTGAGCCATGGATCTGAGCTCATAACTTGGAATTCAGCAATCGATTTTGGCTGAATGGTGCTTTGTGGTCGGGGCTTGACATTGCAATCAGCTACCTCAGGTCTTGAAGAATAGCCGCCATCAGCGGTAGCGAACATGTGTCTAGAAAACATCTCCAACTGCCGGCTGGGATTTGCTTGTTTCGTGCGTATGGAATATCCTTTTATTCCATGCCCTCTCATGCTTCGATTTTCCAGATGTGTTCCATCTCAACCCGTAAACTCTGAGCCGGATCTGCTTCTCCGTCTTTTCAGTACATGTGTCTTGAGGCGTAGTCGGGCAGCCAAGCAGCTCGTCCCTCTCCGTTAGCATGAGGTCTCCATCGATTGTCAGGATGTGGCCGAAGAAGTCCGACTTCAAGACCTCCCAGTGGGTGCAGAAACATACCGAAAGCAAAGGAGGTGGGATCCGGGCCTTGGACTTTCTAGGTTGACCCCGAGGTCTCGCTGGGCCCCGAACGGCCAGAATAAGCAGGTAAATCGGGCTTGGCGGTTGGCTAGCTTCTTAGCTATCAGAATCAGGGCATCCCAGAATGATGTATAAGTCCACTACACAGGTTACTGGGCTCAACTGTCGAAGAAGGTGATACCTGTGACTACATGTTCTGCTGATGATGATGATGATGATGATGATAATGAGGAGGATGATGGTACTGATGATGAGGATGGTGATGATGGTTCTGATTGTTGGGTTCTTCAGAACATGGGCGAAGCATACCTTGGACTCTGCTCTGCGACCTCTCCGAGCTTCGGCACCGAGGCTCTGGGAAATACTTCTCGCGGGTAGTGGTAATGTCGAATAGGTTACCGACCATGAAGTAACACTCCTTTGCTACCCGCAAACGAAAGCAAGTGATTGTTGATGCAATTAATTTTGACCTGAACCCTCAACCCTAAACCAGGCCGAAAACCCAAAGCTCAGATCCTTCGATTACACTCGGAGTGATCAAAGGAGCCTCAATCTTCTGGTACTTGCTTTGCACACTCGCCACGGGGGCCGTGTCAAACACCTCTGCCATGCGGCATCAAAGTAAGTTGCATGCAGTGCTTAGAAAGCAGTTGGTACCTGTTAAATCACCTTTCGATCCAAAACATGACCATAAGGTACGCTCCCTTGTTGGCTAGATCAACATACTGCAGATGGAGGACCGTTCGAACAATCACCATACGATGTCTGACCGATTTCAGGCTGCCGAGTGCAGTTGTCGCAATCGCGGCTTGTGGGGTCGCGGCAGCAGTAATTCTGGTACTCGCGCTTGCATCAATTCTAATACTGAAGCCCAAGTAGTCGTGGTAGCAGTAGTCGTCGACGTCGCCGTCGCCGACGTATTTGTCTTTGTCTGAGTCTGAGTATGAGTATCAGCAGTAGTAGTAGCAGTAGTAGTAGTAGTAGTAGGAGTAGTAGTAGGAGTAGGAGTAGGAGTAGGAGTAGGAGTAGGAGTAGGAGTAGGAGGAGGAGGAGGAGGAGGAGGAGGAGGAGGAGGAGGAGTAGGAGTAGGAGTAGGAGTAGGAGTAGGAGTAGTAGTAGTAGTGGTAGTAGTAGTAGTAGTAGTAGTAGGAGTAGGAGTAGGAGTAGGAGTAGTAGGAGTAGGAGTAGTAGGAGTAGGAGTAGGAGTAGGAGTAGGAGTAGGAGTAGGAGTAGGAGGAGGAGTAGTAGTAGTAGTAGCAGTGGATGTAGTAGATGTAGCAGATGTAGCAGATGTAGCAGATGTAGTAGTAGATGTAGTAGTAGACGTCGTTGTTGTAGTAGCAGCAGCAGTAGTAGTGGGCGTAGTAGTTGGCAACAGCATATTGGTCGGAGTAGGATTGCGGTAGCAGTGGGGCCAACCCTGAACCTGCCAGTCACCGCGAACCCTTTCTTCTCAGCCCCTGAACCCCAGACCCATGCGTCAAAAGACCTTCACCCCACACCCTAACCCCTGAACCCTAAAGCACTAAAATCCTGAACCCCAAACCCACCAAGCACATGCCGCTTAGCCACCAGATCAGCACCAACTCCACTTGGCTGCGCATATTTCCCGGATCTCCGCAGCCTTCTCTCTTTGTGTTTTACTGTACGGTTCTCGGAACTGGAATACATTTCGGGAGCATATATGGTAACTCAAAGTATGTTCTTGGAACAACAAGGCAAATGCTGTGTTGCATTGCTCCAATCTGTTCAGAAAGAGATGGCATACAAACTGAGGCAGACCGAGTCTTCGGTCGCCTCATTGGTGGATAGCAACAGTGGTCCTATTTCTATAATACCGAGAAATCAGTGCCTGCAGTTTGGGATTAGTTTAGGGTTTAGAGTTTGGGGTTATGGCAGCCGCTCCGTAAAAACCGCATGATCCAGTTGCACAGCAGCGATTCGTCGACAGGTTTCGGCCCCAAACTCTGAAGTCCATCAAGCCCCAAAAACCTCGAGAAGACCGTGCATCTTGTACTTCGTTCTGCTGTTTGGGCTTTAGGGCCCCTCGAACCCCCCGAAACACTGCCCGATGCCCACCTGTAACCAGGCCTTGGGCTTCCACGCGCCGATGTGCTTCAACCCCTAACCCGCGAACTATAGAAAAGAAGGCTTGGTTCATGATATCAAGAACTATCAATTCAAACGCAAGGATAGTCATCGCAATAAGCAGTTAGCAAAGCACTAGCATCATCCAGTGACCAGCAGATGCGTCCGGGGCACGGCAGGGAGCTGAACAACGTGCCAAGTAGCAGACCTGTCTCGGAAAGTCTTTTGAGAATCAACCAATTTTGGAAGCTTAAGGTTTATGGGACAACACAGCACCAAATCCCAAAACAATGGTCGCCACTCCGATCTTGCTAAACCTAGGAATCACTGCACAAGGCGGAGGCGAAACTTTTTGGTTGATTTGTTAAAAGGGATTGGGGATTTAGCATCAAGGGCTTAGCGGTTCCAAACTCAGGGCATATTTGACGCTGAAGGATGCAGGAATGTAAGGGGTGTACGGTCACATTTCCTGCAGATAACCACTAATATAGCGGGCTTAATAACTAGAATAAGGCTTGGGGGTATAGTATACCATTATTTTGCTTATTATTATGGTATGGGACGCCCAAATTAGGAAAGGTAATTATTAAGGCCCCCATATCGGACACTGTGCTGCCCGGCTGCCCGCAAGGAAGGTCAGCAAAGACGCGCGGGAAAGAGGAAGCTGCCATGACATCGGCGCGTGAGCCGATGCCGTGAAGTGGCATCGGGTTTAGGCGCTAGGGTTGGGGTTTAGGGTTTAGGGTGTTGGCATTAGGGTTTAGGGTTTGAGGGTTTAGGGCAGGGCGTAGGGTTTAGGGTTTGAGGGTTCTGGGGTTCGGGGTTTAAGGCCTAGGGTTCTTAAACTCAGGGGTTTTGGGCACCAGGCCGTGGTTGGAGATTCCAAAGCTTGCTCAAGGAACTAAGGTTTCGGGTGTTTCGGGATTGGGTTAAGGAGTTCAGAAGTTAGGGGGTGCGGATCCTGCTGTAGATGCACCTGAAGGGTCATGGGCTCGAGGCGTGTAGGTCAAAAGCAATTCATTAGGGACCTAAACAGGTACCTAAACAGAAGCCAGAAGGTTGGGATATCCCATAAGCCCCCTATATAAATGCAGCAATCAGGGATATCCCACCCACATGTTTATTTTTGGGTCCTTTGTTTGGAAACCTATTCATAAAGAAATCTTCCCAAGTACGGCCATCATAACTCCGCTTATGACCTACTCGTCTCCAAGAGATTTCGCTCCGCACAGGACTTTCGAACCCAACAGCTGCGGCGATTCCGACGCCAGGGGAATGAAGGAAGTGTGTGATTTTTGAGGTTTGGGTTTAGTTTTTCTTCTGAAGTCCCGGTCCGCGAAACTGGCTTTGGAAAGAAAGCTGGGTCATGTGACAAATAGCTGAGGCAACTTGGCAACTTCCGGTGTCAGCAAGCCGATGCGATAAGTCGCGGAAGATGTGTCACAGCAGCAACCCTCTCGGGCCCGTCGGCTTCAAGCTCTCAGTCGTGAAGAGAAGCTCAATTTCCGCCCTCATAGCCACAAAAACGGTCGAGAGCATTAAGGTCTAGAAGCTATTCAGAGCACAGGGACACCGCCGAAGACGATGTTTGACTCTTCAGGTTCGGGGTTTCAGGTTGTTCGTTCGGAGCCCTTCTTACGATGCCTAAACCCTTAACACTAAACCCTCATTCCTAGCCCCCCAAACCAAACCCTCACGCCTAAAACCTAGACCCCAACTCCCAAAACACCAAGTTATACAAGCCCTACAAAACCCTTAAATCCTAAACCCCTGAAGAGTGAGGTCAGGGCCCTTCTCCCACGCCGCCCAGTCGTTCAGAAACGACCAGAAACCACCTCCGCTCGAGCGCTCCGTGGCACTGGACAAGGATCTTCTCGCAAGATATAGCATTGAGGCCTGAGGGCCTGAGGGTTCATCCTGTAAAACCATAACAATAACAATAATAATCACAGTTAATAATAATCATAATAATAATAATAATAAGAAAAATAAGAATAATAGTAATAATAATAATTAATTAATAAGAATAATAATAAGAATAATAGTAATAATAATAACCAATAGTAATATTATTAATATGAGGTTTTGTAAAGATGTTGTAGCAGAAGCTGTAGGGGCCTGGATCAAGGTGTTACATTGGTTGAGTTCGTTTTGGGCCCCGCAGGTCTTGTGACGCGTAGGGTTGCAGTGTGGGTCTGGAGGTTGAGGTGCTTGAGGGTTGAGGCCTTGAAAGTTGCTTCTATGCTTTTATCGGGGGCAGATTCAAGCTCTGGCTCTTTGGGGGCTCGCAAGGGTGTACGCCTCGGGTTCTTTGTCTTTCCACTTGCATTGCGTTTCTAGGCGTTGCCAGCTGGGGGTAGAGGTTTAATGTGAACGCTTACAGGTACTGGATATGGGGGTGTGAGAGAGCACTTGCTGCAGAGTTTGAGTGCAGGGGTAGGTGTTAAAAACACGGCCATCCCAAATCTCAGGAAACCCTGAAGACAACAAACAGCCACATAATGTCCGGAATGGTAGGTCCAAGGGTAAAACGAGGGACCCTTAATAAGGACCCCTAGGTATATACCCATAATATAGCTATTATATGCCCATCATATAACCCATTATAGGGTAGGGGTCCCCATTAAGGGTCCCTCCTTTTCCCCTTTGAGTAGGTTAAGGCTAAGGGAAACCCCAAACATTCCGGAATTTCCAGTTTCACCGTGCGCTTCGACGAGCAAGGTCTGGTGAGGGAGTTTGCAGACTGAGTTTCCGAATAAACGGGCCTTAATAATTGGAATTGGGTTTGGGTATGTATATGTATATATATATATATATATATAACACTCTAGTTATGATCAGGACCCCCAAAAAAAGTATATAGTTATTTAGGCCCTCATATTAAGCCCTTCTGGCATCCCTACTTCAACTGCCCTCGAACCCTGAGCCTGAGCTTTGCAAGCTAAACACCCAGCAGACTCTCAGATCCTATCTTAAACCCGAATTAAGCCCCTCAAGCCTCAAAAAACCCGAGACCCTGAGCCCCAGCCACAAGACCAACAATCCCCACAAAGATTGCTGTTGGGCTTTGGGGCTCTGCCGTGTTCTTAGGTAGCAAGATTCAGGGTTTAGGGATCTACTCAAAGCCCGCAACATCCCTGAACCCTAAACCTGAAATCCTGAAGCTTAAAGCCTGGACATCGGATGAGGAAGCCTCGAACCCTAAGGCCCAAAGCCACAACCTCAAAACCCTTAGACGAATGGGGCTTAAGGTGTAGGGTCAACCCTTCACGGCTTTCCTAAACACTCACTGCTGGGCTTTGGGGCTCATGGTAAAAGTGTTTAGGGATTCATGGAATTCAGGGGTTTAAGGGTTTCGGGGGCCAAGGGGGTTCGGGGGTTTAGGTGTTTCTGTGTAGGGCTTCTTTTTCACGCGCCGAGCTGGTCTGTGCACGGATGCCGCGGTAAACCCTGAAGCCCGGAGCCTCCATTAGATCCTCGGCATACTCAGGTTTAGGGTTTAGGGTTCAGGGTTTGGCGATGAGGGCTTAGGGTTCAGGGTTTAGGGCTATAGTTACGAGTGTCAAACATACTATCATGATCATTCCTTCTGTTGCTACCGTTCTTACTATGAGACTAGCGGTGCTACAACTACTGTCACCATTGTGCTAGTCGTCCTCCGGATGTGACTCTCACCTCTTGCAATACTTTGGCAGTTTGGTATGATAAACAGACAGAATAGCATCGTAGAATCTTCCGGAGGAGTGAGAAGCCTTCTTTTGCATTCCGGCGCTGAACATTCACGGTTTTGAGGGCTGCCCCAAACCCTGAACCCCTTAACCCTCAAACCCTTATGAAGCACTAAACCCTAAACCCTTATAGGACCTCTACAGAACCGTTATCGAGCCCTTTTGGAACCCTTGCAGAACTCTTAGAAAGCAAGGTGGGTTGGAAGATCTGGAGCTTTCGGACCACGGCTGGTGAGCTGTGGGCTTCGGACCACCTACACTTAAGGCCTTGTGGGGCTCTGCAGATGTGGTGGAGGGCAAAGGCACATATGCTGATGTAGGGGCCTTGATAATTCGAAGAGATGTCGGGGCCTTCATTCTTGAAAAGTTGAACAGATGTTGTGTGATCTATTCCTTGTTTTGATTCCTTGTTTTGTATGAAGGAACGTCAGGGAACAGTATTTCGCTTCAACTCCAGGCTCCAGGCTGTGCTTCTCGATCTCAGGCAATTGTTCAATTGTTGTGGGAGTGTTGTTGCAGTGCCCCTCGGCGAAACGACCTTGTACAGACTTCCTACATGAGGGATCAAGACGACATTGGGTCTGCCCCCGTCATTTAACTGCCTTCAAGGCCGGATAAACCGGAGAGAGCTCTCCACTCTGCACCAGAGGCATGTGAGAAACTTGCAAAACAGAAGGGTTTAAGGTTTCTAAGGCTTAGGGAGTAGGGCCCAGGGCTTATGAGGCATCCTAAAGGATCACATCCTCGTACAAGAACACGGCGCACGCCCCCAGAAACGAGATCGACCCCAGCGCGCGCGCGGCATCCAAAAGCCCCACCTTTCGAGCCCCACTTCTTGTGTCCCAATTGGGCGACTTGGTCTTGAAGTAGTTGGTGCACAAACGGGTCTTCGAGAAGTCGGGCTTCTCCTGACAGCAGAAGGTCTTTCGAGCTGTAGGTCTGTGGGTGTAGAATTTACGGTTTCGGGTTTAGGGTAACAGTCCGTAGTGGTACTACCTACGGAAGGCGGAGTAGGACTTCAGGCTTGCGCTGCGGGGCCCAGGAGGCCGAGAGTTGAGGGTTGCAGGCAAAATGGGCCCCCCTAAACCCTAAACCGAAGGTCCAGCGGTAAATCAAACGTCGCCAAGCCATGGGTGGACCACCGGCGGTTGCGAGCTGGATCGGTGGTGCTCGGCTGCAGGCTTGAAGGGATTGCCGAGCCTAGGGATTGTAGGGTTTGGTCGAAGGCTGGGTGTAGATTTGCTTGCCACATCTACTTTTTGCTGGGGAAGTGTCTTCATGAGCTCGCTCAGAAGCCTTCACGTGTAGCGCCTTTAGGGTCTATTTCGGGCTCTGGCTAGCTTTTAGGATCCGTTTTAAAATCTGACTTCCGTTTCAGACCCTTCAATCGGTAGGTGTGCTCGGGTCCCTTTAAGGTCTGGGGCTAGCTGGGGGTTCAAGGTTGGAAATTTTTGACCCATATGGTCATCGACCTCCTTCATGACCATGGAACGAACGTTGTTAAAGGTTCTGTAAGGGTTTGTGTAAGGGTTTTGGCTTTTGGGGTTTAGCTATAATAGAGGCCTTCAAGTTTAGACTAAGGTCTTGGGGTAAGCTATACTGTACTGATAACCGGAGAACTTTAACGAAAGTGCTCACTTTTCTTGTTCGAACCCTGAACTCTCAAGCGAAAGCCACTAATAAATGATGGCTGAGGGTCCAAAGACGCGCTGGGCTCTTCGTGGAAAGCTTTTGACTAAATCCTAAACCCCACATCCTATACTATACCCTAAACCCGCAAGAAAGCAACAAACTCTCCGCGAAGAACACTTGGTGAATTCTTACCTTACGGATCCTCGCCTCAGAATGTACGATTCTACATCACAGGGTCCTTCGTGGCATCTTGGTGCCGCGCCGAGCCTGTAAAACGAACCATAAACCTCTAAAATAGGGGCCTTCATGTTTCGAAAAAGGCGACGGGGTACACTGTGACATAGTTTACAGGGACTATGGTCACAGGGATACAACCTCTATTCCGACCTCTCCCAAGTCAAACCCGGGTCAAACCCTCACAGCCTCATCCCCCCTGCAGCAACTCGACAGCCCAAACCGAAACCTTTACACCTCAATCACCCTCACCGGCAACCCCTACTTCTGAACCCACATGGAAGGTTTCCAAAATTAATTTGGGCTCATTTAAGTGCCTCTGGGGGTGGTCACGGAACCTATACTACCTTCCCGGGTCCAAAAAACCAAGGTCCCCCTATTTCCCGAAGTTTCTGCATCTTGCTGCCACGGGAACTTCCAAGAACTGCTCCGCCTCCCCAATCGAACAGGCGCCGATGCGGCCACCGATGTGCCCCGGTCCTTGATCGCCAAAGAAGGCCCCTTAAAACTAGAATACGAATGTAGTGTTTATGGCAGAATTATGTGGGCTAGAGCCTAGACGGGATACCATGTCTAACTATGCAGACCTCCACATTACAAGATTGAGGTTCGGGACCCGGCAAGGCCACGATCCCCAGGCTCAGGTTCCGTGCACGAGCCCCAGAAGGCAGAGAACAAGAGAACGACCAAGAAAAATGTGGCGGTAGACGTTTGATTACGAGTAGCCTGTGATAAACTATTCATCAAGAGTAGTTCCGAAAAAAGGCAATGTTCTACACAACACTGTTGAAGAAACGTGCCAACCCCGCCACCTCCTCCACCACCAGCAGCAGCAGCAGAAGAAGACCAACAAGAGAAGCAGCAAATGAGCTTCACCAGCAGCAATGCCAGTAACAAGTTCTAAGGATGAAACGGAAACGATAACAATGGCAAGAATAATGAAATTAACAAACGCGAGAAAGCCGTGGCAGTGCCAGAAAAAAACCATCATGTTGAGTAGCGGAAGTAACAAAGGTAGTGACTAGCTACTAGCTTGCCAACGAAACAACACGCACCACAATCATTTACTATAATTTGTTGCGGGTACTCGAATACGAATGACAGTCCTTGAGCTTTTAGACAGAAAGAAACTGTTGCCCAAGCCTAAAACGCAGCAACTGGTCATGGCATGCTGGTTTGTTCTCATGTTATACTCGTGCTTTGCATCGAGCGTTTTTCGCTTGTAAACCCAACGTAGGCCTCATGCATGAGCCCTAAACCCTAAACCCTGAAGCAAGGCACTGTGACAGGCTCCGCGGAGCTCTCGCGGGAGCGCCGCACCTGAAGTCTTTGAATGGTTGCAACGGCTTCGGGTTTAGGGCCTTAAACCCTAAACTCCTACAGACTAAACCCTAGACTTATGCTCTAAACCCCTAACACTTAAACCCTAAACGCCCCAAACTTAAAGACCCCAACTCCGAAATCCTTAACACCCGAAGATATGTATAGGGGCCTTTAGACAAGGTTTTGCTGTAAATTTTTAAATTCAACACCCCCAACTGCGACCCGAAATGGAAGCAAGCCCGCCAAGACCCCAGACCCCGAACCTTGCAACACCACGCTCTCAAGCCCTGGATGTAGGGCTTCACGGTTCCGGACTGTCGTATGGTCGCTGACAATAATAGAGACTTCAACAGGCATTCCCGAAACCCTTAAGCCCAAAACCCCTGAACCCTAAACTCCTAGAATCCTAAACGTGCCCGAAACCAGAAGATCCAGAAACCTCAAGTTCCGAACAACCAACCCTTAAGCCCAAAACCCCTGAACCCTAAACTCCTAGAATCCTAAACGTGCCCGACACCCCCAGATCCGGAAACCTCAAGTTCCGAACAACCAGAAACCTCAAGTTCGAAAACCCCAGACTCCTAAACCCCGCAAAGGCGATCGTCCTAAAGTCCTAAACCCCTGAAACCCTGGAAGTCCTAAAGTCCCACACCACCAAATCCCGAAAGACGGCTGGGGTCCTAAACCTTACAGGGAACTCCAGAAAGTTGGAATATGGTTTCAGGGTAGGATACCTCATAATTTACCATAAAGGGCTTAAGGGATAATCATATTCCCCAACTTTCTGGCTTTTACTTTAAGGTTTTTCGATCGGAAGGAGGGCCTCCTCCTCGCCGAAAGGCACGGTGAGGTGATGAAGGAGCTTGGAGGTGCCCTGAGCTTTGACTCCATGTGCTTCAGGGCTGTGCGGCTTCAGGGCTGCGTGTTTTAGGGCTTTGGGTTTGAGGATGTGCGCTTTAGGGTTTGGGGCGTGAAGTTTAGGATTTTTGTTCAAAGTGCGCTGATCCCGGGACCACCCCTAGTCTAGTCTGCCGGTACGGGTTTAGCCTTTAAGGCTTTGCGCTGAGGGCTTGACGACGGACCTTGCAGGGCTTTACAGGGGTTGCGCAAGAGTTCTTGAGGGCTTTGGGCTCAGAGATCTTTGGGTTCAGCGTTTGGGGGTTGAGGGCTTGGGTTTTATCATGTGGGGCTCTATGGCTTAGGTCTGGTGTTGGTAGTTTGAGGTGTCGGGTTTTTTTGTTCGGATTTCAAGGTTTTGCATCGGGGTTCCGGGGTTAGTAATAATAACCATTATAAATATTATTACCGATATTACTATTATTACTATTATTATTACTATGATTACTGTTACTATGTTTATTGTCATCATTAGCTTCCAATCGCCAGACTTGGAGGCTTACGCTGCAGGTGTCCGGCAGACTGCAGGTTTCCGAGCTCCAGGGTATAGGGTTTAGGGTTTAGGGGTTTAGGGTTTAGGGTTTAGGGTTTAGGGTATAGGGTTTAGGGTTTAGGGTTGGTATCAATGGGTTCAAGTTTGCACAAACAGCAAAGACCTGATGTCTACACTGGTGCAAAAACCCTAAACTACGCCCCCAGAGGTTGCGAGCCCTTCAACCATAAAGCCCGAAGCACAAAACCAAAAAACACATTGAAGCCGCAAACCCCAAAACCTGAATCCCTAAATTGCATAAAGCCCAAGGCTCTGAACCCCACAACTGCAAAGAATCCTAAGGCCTAATCCCAATTAATTCCAAACACGCTCCTGAATACTAAACCAAAAAAACAAAGGCCTAAATTGCCCCCGCCCTGGAACCCTCACACACACACACACACGCACACAAAACAAAAAACCTAAAAGCCAAAACTCGAAACCCAAAAGGCCACCCTAAACCCTAAACCCTGCTGATGCAGGCCCGTAGCTGGCTTGCCAGCGGGACGCTCAACCTCCGCCCGTTTCCGGGCAGCCTCGGCCTGCGGAGCAGGTCGGATTTAGGGCTTAGGGTTTTTTGAGGTTCAGGGTTTAGGGTTTACGATTAGTTCACTGCGTGTGTGCTGGGTAATAGCAGCAGCAACACACACGCAGGACGTTCGTGTCAGCCCCACCCCAGACCACCCAGCTCACAAGCTTTAGGCGGGTGGAATGGATGGTGGGGTGGACGGGAAACTTTCACCTCCAACCTAACGGTTTGCTGGCGGCTGCGGGTCGCAGAATCCACACCTGCCGTCTGTTGTGCATGAGTGCAGTCAGGACAAAACTTAAATCCAGAGGGACTTAGTTTCCTGTGTAGTTAGTGATTGCTACTGAGTTTGAGGGTTTTGTAAACCAAGACGACACAAGCTACGTTTTAGCCCCAGGACACCATGTTTGTGATGGTCTTGCAAAGGCACGCCAGGAAACCTGTAAGGTGTCGTGAAACGAGGTTAGTGCGACTTACGCCCGAAATATTTAGAGCAAGAGAATGTCGTCACGAATGTGGAGCTCTAAATCTTCACGCCCGGAGAAGGCATCCAAAACTTATGAAAAGAAGCGTTAGTCCTGTCGATCCCTTCGCGTACCTAAAACCACAGAAGCAACGGACAAGAGCAAGCACAGTTGAGTTCGAATACTATCGCTGAAAAAATTCCATATAGAGAGCCCTTTACCGGTTGACTGGCTCTGACCCTTGATTGCCATTTGCATGTAAACAGCAAAATATGTATTGATCAATCGTTCTAAGTATGACGAAGAAACTCGGGATCGAGTAGTATTTAGTTGAGGCGTTGTCTAAAATATGGAAAAATACCCCCTTAATCAGAAGTTCAAAACATTAAGAAATATTTCGGGCTTTGTATCCACTTCGGTAGAATCTGACCCCTTCGAAGCCAACCGAAAGCCGTAAATCCGCAAAGGCGAACTCTGAATCCTTGAAGTTTGAACAGGAGAACACATGCAGAAGAGCGTCCAGGACACTTTGCCGGCCAGTCGCACGAGCAGGCCGCCGGTCGTTTGCACTCGAGCAGGTGAGCATGGCAGTGCAAACAACATCGCCGGCCACACGTTCTGTGCTCAAACATTTTCGGCTGAGTGGTTAGAGTGGTCCTGTTTTCTAACACAATTGTAACTGTTGTCGTAGGAGGACGGTACTCCCACAGAAAGCATCTTGCAAACTGTAGAGCAGCGAGGAAGAGTAGGAAGCGACATGGCAAGTGTGGGCTCGCGACCTGTGCGGAAGGAAAAGCGCGAAGGGGAGGTTGCCCAGAAAGGGGTTGAGGTCGTGCGACAAGAGGTGACCGGACGGGCAGCACGTGTCTGCAACAGCGGCTCCCGGCCTCCCTCCGCCGGAACAATCCTGCAGACGCGGCAGGCGCCGCAGGAGGAGGTCGCAGGTGCGGAGAAGGCATACAAAGCCACAGCTCCGCGTGGGAAAAAAGGTATGACAGCAGAGCAGCGCGCTCTCCGCAAAGCCGCGAAGGAGCGGCGGGCTGCGGCACGCAAAGCCCTAAAAGCTGCCAGTGCTGCCTAAGACAGCTTTCGCAAAAGGAATGACATGCCGCCTCCGCAGATTCTTGCAGAGGCTTCCAGAATGCCTGCAGCAGGAAGCAGGTGCGAGTCATCCGGCAAGGGGTTGGTGGCAACGGTGTCGGCTGAGAGGGGTCCATTAGCGACCGAGTTAGGACTGCGGCAGACCGGACTTCGACCGCACGCAGTAACAAGGCAGGTCGGACTCGAAAAATAGACCGTCAGGTAGGGGTCACAACCGGTGGCGGAAACTAAAATGGCTTTTGCTCCAAGCCTTTGGACCTGTCGTCAGCCCCCCCACACTACTCTACTACTCTATGGACTGCAACTTAAATCACTATGCAACCCACTCGCCATTTTTGGTGTCCCTGAAACGTCGGTTCCGAGTCGTGTAACCCCCCCATTCAAGTTGTGGTGTACGTGGGGTCATGGTTTAACCTTTAAGACAACTTAACCCCTGAATCCAAAGGGTTGACGGCATGGGCATTGGGTTTAAGTAAGGGCTGTCAGCTTTTTTGCTAAGGCCCCTTTTCATTTACAAGGCTTTCACGTTTAGGGTACAGGGCATTTGGGTAGAGATCCTTGGTGTCTTTTTGGTGATCGGTCTGCACAGAGGCGTTTAAGGAGCGCGGTACCTCAGGCCGCAGATCCTGAAGCGCAGCAACAGCAATCGTCAGTCCTTCACACCCTGGCTCAGCCCCGAAACGCGTGGGATTTTGGTAAGGTGTTTCTAGGTCTTTGCAAATTTCCATGGGGCGTCCATATAGCGGAACCCTAAACCCTCATCCCCCAAAGCTTGATAACTGAACCATACCACACAAACCCTAAACCCTCAACCCCCACACCTTCATTACTGAACCATATCACCCTCGGTGGGCTGCCTTCTGCTGCTCCAGAATCCGACTTGTGCGACGTTTGGGCTGAACAGGCTGTGGGCCTGCCTGCCAAGGGTTCGGGTTCAGGGTTTAGGGGTGTCTTGAGGGTTTTTGGTTCGAGACGCAGGGTGGCTGTCGCACCGTCACCAGCGGGGTTCGCATGCTCCGTAAATTGCTTGCTTCGCTGTTGGTCTAGCACGTGGGGCGCAGCCCGAGCTTTGTCGCTAGCCCGAGGGCTTGTGACTCCGGGCTGACTTTGTCTAAGGGCAGGGTTAAGGGTCTTAAGGTTTTAAGGTCTTCTTTTCAAGGCTTTGGGGGCTTTGGTTGCTAGGCGTCTTGGTGCCGAAGGCCTCTTCGAACTGTTGGTGTCCGATGATGGGGGGTGTGCATGGTTCGGGGATGGGCTTTGCACAGAAACCTGCTGGGTCGTGACGCCCTCTTACCCTCAGCGCTACACTGGAGGGTCCGGGGCCCAGGGTAGCATAGCACCTACAGTAGCAGTTAACAAGAACACCGCAGTGGTTCGGAGCCTGGGCCGGCATTTGGTTTGAGAATTGGGGTTTCTAGGCGCCTCAATTTGACCCGGGTCGTCTATGGTTTAGGGTTCAGGGTTCTGTTTGGGTGCGCATGTGGAGGCCTCGACCGGGCTCTAGGGCGGGCTTTATGCTGCAACTCTGTTACTTGTAGGGCTTATAAGGTTTAGGGTTGACCCTAAACCCGAAACCCTGAGGAGTAGTTTGGTTTCTGGAAGCTCGCACACTGCATAAGCCCCACAACCCTATCCGCCCCAACAACCCACAACAACAAGAACAACAACCAACCAACCACCCACCCACCCACCCAACCAACCAACCAACCACGACAACAACAGCAACAGCCAAAACATCCACGAACTGGCTAAACCATTCCTGTTCGTCTGCAGCGCACCTCGAAATTTACCGCACTTTGGCGCCTCGTCTGAAAGCTGGCCTGCAGGGAGGCAAGGGACGAGAACACAAGGCTTATCAAGATCATAATCGCGATGATAGTTAGCCGATAGCCATGGCCATCATCAACAACAACAACAGCAGGAGCATCATCAGTATGATGGTTACCATCATCTGGGCTTTGTAGGCTTCCAGGTTTTGAAGTCTGGGGGCCCAGCCTTGCCGTGCAGCACTCTCCACATATGTACGGCCAGAGAAGAAGCGAGGACGTTCAGCAGGCCATTGCCGGCCACCAGCTCGTGCCAGCCGGAGATGCTGGGGTCGCTGCAGAGAAGCAGGTACGCATCGTTCGCTGCGCACACAAGGCTGACAAGAATAAAGACAACCAGGGCGCTGACGAAGGTCACATCCTTCTGCATCCCGCAGCATTCGTTGAACAACCAGATCTTGCTCAGGCGCTCGTAGCAAGCGAAGAAGTTCTGATCCCCGTCTCGCAAAAGGTAAAGGCCCAGGATCGGAACCGCAGCATCGTTAAGTCCGCCCCAGACATCCGCGAAGATGAACCGGAAGATAACGAGTGGACAAAGCAGCACCACCAAAGTCTTGAGCGCCAGAGCACTGCAGCTTAGGTGCTGGCCGGCCGTCCCCTCCATGTGAGGCATAGACGACATGGCTTTCCGCCTTTTTCAGCCAAGTGACAGATGGTCAAAAGACTTAAACCCGATACCTTGAACCGATGATGCTTAAGAAGTTCCGGGGGGTTGGTTGCTGAGATCACGTGACGCTGCGACCATTTCGTCAAAAGGACTTCGGGACCTGCTTCTTAATCGCGTCCTGCCGCTCTCATGCCCATGTGAGCTACTTTAGCTTCTGCTGCGCTCCTTCGCGATCCAAATTCAAAGGGCACGGACAAGAATAACAGATATGTGAGATGTTGCTTTCTGGACCCTAAGCCCGAAGCCCCACTTGAAGGAAAACACCAGATGCCAGCACGACTCCACAAGCCCAGTGAAACCCAGAAATCGTGAGAGCCTCCCTTGCGCGTGGTGGGGAATGAATGCAGGGTAGATGGGACGCCTGTAAGGAATACTGCAGGGATCCATTCCCCCATTCCCTGCCAAGCACCAGCGTGTGCACAGAGACAGGGTTGAGAGCCTATGTTTCGTGTCAAAGGCAGCCAACCCGGAGCCAAAGCCAACTCCAAGCCCAGAACGGCCCGTAAAGTGGGTTCTTGTCTCCGATATGTTGCAGGGCCAGCGTAGGGTTTTAAAGTTCAGGCAGGTCACATATTTTCATTATCTGTCTAAACCCTGGATATCTCGTAGCATGCACGTCGGGGTGGAGCCTGTCAAAACATCATTCTGAGCATGTGTATAATCATGTCATATACATATGCACAGGCACAGACACAGATACACACATACATATGCACACAGGCGCGCACACACACACACACATGCACGCATACTGCACGTGCGTGTGGACACATGCACACATACATGCATACATGCCTACCTACATGCATGCATTCATACATACACACATGCATGCATGCATGCATGCATAAAGACCGACAGACGAACGGAACAGACAGACAGACAGACGGATGTATTTATGTGCGTGCATATAACTACACACCCAAGTTTCTGCAAGCCTGAGCCACAAAAGTCGAACTCAGAGCTCCACCCGATTTCCGTGTACTCATCGCGGCACCGAAGCTGCCATGGCCCAAGCAAGCGCCTGCGGTTGGATCCGGTGGGAAGTTCCAGAATACTAACTGTAGTAAGCATATAGTAATACTTGTAACAACATTGATAAGAACAGGAATATTGCTGGGGCTTCTCAATTTTGCTTGGAGCGGTTTAGGGTTCAGGAGCGTTGGGTTCTCAGGGTCTCAAGGAAGGAGTTTCGAAGGCTCGGGGGTGTTCGGGTGTCGGGTTGAAACATTTTTGCGTTTGGGCTCTGTCACATGCATCCGGCAGCGCGGATTATACATGACCACATTATTATGTAGATTCGTTTTGTGAGGGCTACTGCTTCATGACCGCTTCTTCACCGGTTTAATCCCATCGGCGCTGTACTGTTTGACTTTTGCCGAGGGAAACCCCGAAAAAGAGCACGACGATCGCTGAGCAAAGCGAAGACCTCTAAACTTCGGCCCAATCTCAACCCCTCTACCCTGCCAGCCTGCCCCACGCCAACCTTAATCGAGTAAATGACTGGTGTGAAGTTGTTTGGCAGCAGAGTGCTCTACCGACTACAAGTCTGCTATGTTCAAAACCTTAACTTGCACTCTTGCATCCAAACCCTAAAACCTGAAGGCCAAACGTAAGCCTTAAAAACCCTCAGCCCTGAGCTAAAACTCTAAACATCCCTGAAACCGATGCTGAAGACTATTATCAAACTGAAAGGCGGCCAAACTAGAACCCTGAACCCGAAACCTACGGCCAACAACAACAAAATTCAAAGCACAGACAAGTCAATAAGACCTACAGTAAACCATACTTCCGAAACCGCAATATTGAACCCTGAACCCTGTCAGGGAACCAGCCTGCGGGACGGGGTTGACGACAGCGCAGCTCCTCGCGCAGTCGGCAAGTTACCTTTGCGGACAACTAGTGACTAATGACAGTCATAATTTGCTTCGGGTTCAGAGTTGAGGGTGTAGGGATGCCATTTGAGATCTGGCTGATCTAGCTGCCCGGACGAAATATACAGCGAGAGAGAAAGAAAGAGAGAGAGAGAGAGAGAGAGAAGTGTGTGTGTGTGTGTGTGTGTGTGTGTGTGTGTGTGTGTGTGTGTGTGTGTGTGTGTGTGTGTGTGTGTGTGTGTGTGTGTGTGTGTGTGTGTGTGTGTGTGTGTGTGTGTGTGTGTGTGTGTGGGTGTGGGTGTGGGTGTGGGTGTGGGTGTGGGTGTGGGTGTGGGTGTGGGTGTGGGTGTGGGTGTGGGTGTGGGTGTGGGTGTGGGTGTTCGGTGTGGGTTGTTTGGTGTGGGTGTGGGTGTGGGTGTGGGTGTGGGTGGGGTGGGTGGGGTGGGTGGTTGGGGTGGGTGGGTGGGGTGGGTGGGGTGGGGTGGGGTGGGTGGGTGGGTGGGTGGGTGTAGGTGGGTGTAGGTGGGTGTGGGTGGGTGTGGGTGGGTGTGGGTGGGTGTGGGTGGGTGTGGGTGGGTGTGGGTGTGGGTGGGTGTGGGTGGGTGTGGGTGGGTGTGGGGTGGGTGTGGGTGGGTGTGGGTGGGTGTGGGTGGGTGTGTGTGTGTGTGTGTGTGTGTGTGTGTGTGTGTGTGTGTGTGTGTGTGTGTGTGTGTGTGTGTGTGTGTGTGTGTGTGTGTGTGTGTGTGTGTGTGTGTGTGTGTGTGTGTGTGT